AGGACTGAGTGAAACCTTGAAGTCATTCATGTATTTTGTGGGGAACCTTTGTCCGTCAATGCAAATCTAATAGAAACGTCTTCTTCGCGTTTCCGGCTGTACACTCTGGTAGAAAACTCTGGGTGTTCATCCAGCTTCAGACCTGGCTTGTTCCAAAACCTGAGTTTTGAGTGCACATTCGTTTCAAACATCTGGCTTATATGTATGCAGACTGTTGGTTCCTTACTTCTCAAGCAGATGCACTCCGAATTTGAAGGATTAGTCGACTCCTACAACATGCTTGTCGGTGAAGCACTGGGTCTATTCCTGTCTCCCTTCTCCCACAAAGGGGCCCTGGAACTCACACCGTGAGATTAGATTTAGGGGGGGGGGGGGGCAAACTTGATGCTACTAGTTTGAAATGTGTTCACTTACTACAAAATTAATGAGATCAAAAGCAAAGAGTAGAGAGGCAATATCATAGAAAAGCGACCACACTAACAAGAAGAGAGAAAATTGTAAATTAAGAAATGGATAAAACTGATTGACTGAATCCTAACATTCAGTAAAGAGCAACACATGAGATGGTTTGGGCATCTGACGAGGAAACCCTGGTGCCAGATGCCCACTAGATCCCTGATGAAGAAATATAATTCAATCGGAGCAGGGAAATGACTTTGAACAGGATAGAACGACTATATCGAAAACAGCTTTAAAGAAATAAAGATGAAATTATACAGCACATTTAAAAGAACACACATAAGATTCTTACAAAACCAAGAGGTTGAAGAAGTAGCTAGAGAGGTAAAATAGGTTAAAGTTGGAGTTGAAAACTATGGTAATTACCAATGGAAAAGAGCGGCTAAACTTGAAGATCACAGTGAAAGGAGAACTATTAGAACAAGTGACAAGTTTCTGCTATCTAGAACACGCAATAGGTGTTGCAAGAAGCGAAATAGAAAGGAAAAAGAGAATAGGAATGGCTAAAACTGTCTTCAGTAAGATGTGAAAGTTACTGACAGCTAGAGAGATAAACACACTAAAAATGAGGATCGTGAAATCTAATCTATAATCCAATCCTTCTATATGGTGCAGAAACTTGGACAATAAACAAGCAAGTGGAAAATCGAACTGAATCTCTGGAAATGTGGCTGTACAGAAGAATAGGTCGTATTTCATGAAAATAAAAAAAAAACATTCTAACGCAGGGATTCTGAGGGGACTACATATGAGAATGAGTTATGAGTTAGATTATTTTCACAGCACTCCGGACACATCCATAGGCGCGCAGATTCTCCTCTCAACATATTCATTAGCATCGTGCGGTTAATAGTTCCAGTCCTATGTTGGTTAAAGAGACTTCGTGTGCGTCCAGTGTGCTTCTCATGCTTGGCTGTGCCGATCTTTACTCCCAATTCGCGTATTCTTAGCAGTGATGTGGACACGTTGATTCCAAAATCCTCAGAACGTCCTATCTTTCTAAGGGCAATGACAATGTCTACGTTTTCCATGGGCTGGCCATTTTCAATTATTGCAGCACCTACCAGTCTATCAGCTCTCTCATTACCAACAACGCCTGCATGCCCTGGGACGAACATGAAGGTAACTGCACACACAGGAGAATTGTGCAACGACTCAAACCTCTGTCTATGCAACCAGCCTGCCTCGACCCGCCGGATCATGCTCAAAGAATCACTCAGCATACATACGCGGGAATAGTCCTGTGATCTCAGCCACATGAAAGCCTGTGTCACCGCCATCACCTCCATTGTCATGCTGCTGGTGGTCATGGAGAAGGCACCATTGGCTTCCTGAACTGTTCTGTCTAAAGAGCGAGCTGTAATTGCTCATGCACTTATGAAAAGAGAGTTGCTGAAAGAAATAAAGAATAGACAGTTTGGATACTCTGACCGCATTAAAAGAAAGGTCGAAGGTAAGAGGACAAAAGATGGGAAACAATACAAGTGGGAGGACAATATCAAGAGAGGGACGGGCAGCAGTTTAAGAGAGTGTAAAACCAGCAGGAGACAGAGCATTCTGGAGATCCATTGCAGACAATCTTCATCGTGGAAACGGCACCTAATTGATTGAATGAACTAAGGAAAGAAAATAAAACGATTTTGGGTATAATGCAGTGACACTCACCATCGTCCGAATCGAATACATAATATATCTTTCTCCACTTGAAAAACTTGACCATGTCGATAATGGCGGCGATGTAATGAGGGCTGATCCCGATGTCGAAACCGTAACCATCTCGGTTGTGATTGGTTGTCTGTGTGTACACCACGTACGGCACGTGCAGGGCCTGGCTGTATGATTGGATGATGTTGTAGGTCCTGGAGGTGCTGGAGCCAAGAAAGAGGAAGACGCCAGCGTCGAGACATCTGCAGACTTAATGTTAACATACATGGTCATCAACAGTGATTGCCAAGATTTTAAACTGTTGTTGTAAAAGACATAGCAAGTTAGAGCAACAATTTTGAGATCGTGTCTTTTCCCTGGCAGCTTAGTTAGTTAGTTAGTTAGTTGGGTTATCATCTTTGCTTTCCGGACATGCCCATAGGTGCTCAGGACCTCCCCTCAGTATGTACCTCAACGTCCGATGGCTAATAGTATTAGTTCTATGTTGATTAACACGTCTTCTGGTGTGCGTCTCGTTTGTTGCTAAGCCGATCTTAATTCCCAAGTCTGTCATTCTGGAGAGTGATGTTGCAGCTTATGGATGTTAGTCATGAACTCTCAGTCAGTTTGTGAAAAAGAAAATCGAAGTTTTTGAATTGAAATGCTACATAAAAATTCTTAGAATACCGTGTCGACCAAGAAGAAGAGAAACGTCAATATCCTGCATGACCTGAACATCAAAGTCAACTGGCTCATAAACAACATCCTCTCGCAAATGTTGAGATGATTAAGATGTAAAGCGCCATATTCTTCTGGAGAGAGCTCTGATGGAGAGTGCAGTTCCAGAACTCGAGGCAGAAGCCGACCTTCGCCAAAGTGGATACATGGCATTGAAGATGAGTTGGCTAGTACACTGGAGAAGTGGCTAGAGAAAGAATTTCAAGCGTGTCGTAAAGCTGAGTGAAGATTGACTGATTCAATATAAAAGAAACATTCAAAAGAAACAAACGCTTGGGGTCTTAAAATTTATATATATATATATATATATATATATATATATATATATATATATATATAAATTTCGTGTGCCTTGTGTGAATTTACATAGTCTTTGAGAAGATAAGGTAAACCCGGCACCATAAGTAGAGTCTCGCTGCATCAACTGCAAATGTAATTCTGGAAACAATTCACAAGACGGATCAGGAGTTTGAATACCATCTAGAAATCACCAAAGTAACAAATAGCGTCCATATCGAAGTGTATTAGGGATAGTTTAAAACTTAAAAATTGTCTGAATATTTTTCGCCTTTCCATCTTTTGGTGGTTTTCCCACTTCTCTGTGATCAATATATTTCTTCAGCATGGCTATCACAGGGAAGCAGAACTGGCTGTCACTACAGAAAGGTCAATGAACATACAAAAGAACTTATATGTTTGCTTTATAGATTATACCAAAGCATTTGCCAAAGTTAAACACGAGGAGATGGTGAAAATGTTGAAAGACATCAATGTAGACGGGAAAGATCTCAGAATAATTAAAAACATTTACTGGAACGAAGTAGCAGCAATTAAAGTGGGAAACAGATTTAGTACTTTTAAACAGATAAAGCAAGGAGCAAGACAGGGGTGAGTCTTATCCCCAGACTTTTTCTTTCTATAAAGTTAGCTAATTTGAGAGAAACTAAAGAGATAGCAGGAAAAAGAATTGGAGGATACAATTTAAACAATTTTCTTTTAAGCAGACGATACAGTTTTAATAACTGAAAATGAAACTGATTTACAACAACTGCTGGATATTGTGGCGATGGAGAGTGCTAAGAAAGGACTCTCCTATGATATTAAGCAAACTGAAGTAATGGTTATTTCAAAAAAGAAGATAACTCGACATTGTTATATCTCAATTGAAGAAAAAAGACTTAACCACTCGATAAATTCCAATATCTGGAAACATTCATATCATCAAATGGAAAATGTGTGCAGCGATTAAAAGCAGAAGGAAGCATTTAATAAAATGATAAATTTCTTATGTAATAAATGGCTCTCATTTAAAGTCAGAAAGAGAGTTCTAAAATGTTACATACAACCTGTCCTGCTGTATAGTAGCGAATCTTGGAATGTTAGTGAACAAATTAAGAAGAATTTGGAAGCAACAGAGATGTGGTTTTTGAGACGAATGTTACTAATACCTTGGACGGCCAGAGTTTGAGACGAATGTTACTAATACCTTGGACGGCCAGAGTAACTAACACCGATTGTTTGAAAAAAACTAATGAAAATAGATCTATATATACAACAATAAGAAAGAGACAAACGCTGTTTTTTGGCCACATAATGAGAAGAGAAGCATTGGAAAACATCATGACAACTGGAAAACATCGTGACAAATAGAAAACATCGTGGCAACTGGAAAACATAGTGACAACTAGAAAACATCGTGACAAGTGGAAAACATCATGATAACTAGAAAACGCCGTGACAACTGGAAAACGTCGTGACAATTAGAAAACAACGTGACAACTAGAAAACATTGTTACAATTAGAAAACATCGTGACAACTGGAAACATCGTGACTGCTAGAAAACATCGTGACAACTGGAAAGATCAGTGAACAGAGCGGTAGAGGAAGACGAAGGGAGATGATGCTGGATGGGCTAAAACGATGGCGTGGGGCGATATCATCAAGAGATCTGTCTCAGCCAACTATGAATCGTGATCTGTGGAGACACATGAGCGGGAATGCCAGGTGGCAGGGCACATGATGATGAGCGTGGCTATCTGTGGCAGCTGGTTCCATGACATTCTTGTCGTATGACCAAACCATCTCATCTATTATGTACATACGTACACGTTGATAACATTTGAAAAATGTGCATATCAAGACTAAGTAAAGTACTCACTGGCTTTGATAAGGTTACAGTTGCTGCTCATATCGGCAGTGGCCCACGTGGGGGTGAGGATAATCTTGCTGCTGTCACCTCCGTTGATGCTGTTGTAGATGTCAATAAAGCGTTTCAGAGTAGCAACAAGTTCTTCTTCACCCGAATCGACCACAATGCCTGTAAGAAACGACGCAATAAATTAGATTCAAACATCGATTAGGCCAAGAATCACCTTGCGCCTCCTCTTCTAAACATTGACAAGCGGTAAACACCGATAGAAAGTTCCAGTTGTTAGTCAACTTCTGGACTTTGCTGCTGTTCCAGAACTTGAATTTTGTCTGCACATCCTTTTACAGATCTGGCTTATTTAAATGCAGACTTGTTTCCTCGTGTCTCAGGCAGATACACTTCGACTTTTAAGGGAAACCCCTAATTAGTAGTCTTTTAAGACATGCTTGTTAGCGGGAGAGGCGGCGGGGGGGGAAGATGGGGGGGGGGGGGCCTCTATCTCCACCCTCGCCCTCCCCCAATGGGGCTAGAGAACCCACACGGGGCTCTTGGTGGCGTGCAATGTTAAACAATTGTATATGGTACAAGTAATCTAGTCACAATCGTATCCTTAAGCTCCCCCTTTAGAGATGCTAGTTGAACGTGGCGACGTTTTTTTAAAAACCATAAACAGGCAAGCAAGAAAGACGAAAATCGTAAACTGGTTAGAGAAAGTAAACTCACAGTCCCGAAGTTTTCGACATTTAGAAGACATCGACTCCCAAACATTAGTTGTAAAGTAACGGATCGTTTTCCCGCCAATGGTGCACTAGGCGTATCATGGTGGCCGAAAGGAACCAGAGATGTAATGAAGGACAATACGCAACACTAGCTGGGACATTCAGCCACTCACAATGGTGCATAGAGTGCTTTATTACTATCCTACCCCCCATATGACGTCACAGGATAGTGCTACATTTTAGAGGGTAGTAAGACTGGGTTTCCCGGTTTAACGACCCCAAAATATCTAGAACTGGCCCTAACCACAATCCACCTACGTCCCACGAGAGAGTGCAGCATATGTCCCACGAATGCTTGCAACCTAGGCCCCACGAGTGCATCCAGCCTATCTACCACCCCCTGGAATATTAGACTGTCCTGTGACCTGTGGATTTCCCCTGTTTGGGCTAAGATATTTATTAAAGCACCGGACAAAGAAAAGCCACATTTGGCGCAATCAACACCTCTTAGCTAATAAATTTGGCCCAACGAAACCAGATCACAATTATAACCGAAACTGTTCGCAGTAGGTTGATCATAGTCGACTTTTTGTTTTCTTTTCAGTAATGGTCAGTGTTAACATGGACAGGGTGGTGGCCGATTTTCTCCTACTCAGCATACATGTCTAAACAATCGTAACTATGAATGATCCACTCGAGTTTGTATGGCTTGGGTTTCAAGATAATGACGTATTGTCTGGCTGCGAACTTTGTCCCTTCTTGTCACATGGACTACTTTTTTCAAAGGTCTCATTTCTGAGACCTAAAGCTGGCTTTTGTGAGCTGTTGTCTTTGTCAATGACACTCACCACAGACGTAGGTCAGGACTGGCACATGAGTAGAGCACCGCCATTTTCGCCATCTTGCTAAATTCGCTTTTGCTGAGAAAGCCTCGGTTTATGGCCTGGAGAAAGTTTCCGACAGCTGCTTTCCGAGCGCCAACTCTGCCTTAATGGCTCCATTCAAGTGTATTAAAGCTAAAGGTATTTAAACTAGCTGGCCTGCTACAATGATACTGTCCTATCATGATCTTATTTCTTTGTCTCCTTTCTTGAGATTACTATTGCTTCAATTTTGGAGAGCCTGATTCTCTCGCTTCTCCAAATCCTGGTTCCAGACATGCAAGTCGGATAAGATGTGCCTCTGATTTAGCAGTCAGGACTACATCGTCAGCTAATGCCGGCCCTGATCTACGGATTAATCTCATGGTCCTTTATTCTACTGAGTACTTCTTTAACTTAATAGGCTTGATAGAAAAAAGCAAGAAGAAGAAAAAGTGACACACAACTAAACGGCTTAACTAAGTGCTTTGTGCGGTAAAAGAACACTGACATGATCTAGTGATCGCGTTAGATGGCGAATCGTGACCGCCAAACGCGTATCGATGTTGCACATGATAATGATACTTATTCAAATCCTTTCAGTGTCCAGAAAACACAGTTAAAGAAAATACCGTTGACAAACCTGGTCAGGTAATGAACAGATTTCATTGCTTTCATTAGCCTTTTATATTAGTAGTGGACCCACTGCCAGTCCTTTGGAAAGAAAACATGGGCCTTTGAGCCGAAATGCTGTAGGAAAATTCTCAGAATATCACGGACAAAGAAGAGAATAAATACTAATATTTTAATAGATTTTAGCATCAAGGAAGATTGGCTAATAAACAGCATCCTGTCTCGGAAGCTGAAATATTTTTGTCATTTCAAGCGCCATGGCGGACTGGAGAAAAGCAATACAAGACTACTTAGTACCTGGAAGGAGAGGCAGGGGCTGACCAACATGAAGATGGACACAGGATATAAGGGACCACTTGAATATAAAAGTACACAAGGCGGGAGAGCTGGCGAGAGACTGAGTTTCTTTTAGGCAAACCGTGTTGAGAGCAACGTTCTGCAAAGAACCTGCTACATGATGATGATGAATTTAATGTTTAGAAAAATTGTAACTGTTTTTTAAGACAAGAAATCTTTTTTCAGGTTTTATTTTCAGCACATCATCAATTTTAATCTATGAATGCTTTTCAACTTCCCTCTTCTCGGTGTCTTTTTTAAAGCCCCGCTGGCAAAAATAATTCTCATCGACCCCCTCCCATCAATCTGCAGCCATAAACTTCCCCAGTTTGTGTCTCATGTTGCCTTCACAGCCGGCCTGTCTCCGCTTTGGCGTCTTGGGGTCCCCTAGTCCTGTTACGCGATCCCACAGAAACTGGACAGGAACTACTTAAAATGAAATATATCGATTTATGTATGTTATTTTGGCTGACGGATTTCTTGCCATCATCTTTCTTGTACAAGGGTTGTGTTTTTTAATTCTGTCTTTTGGCATATTGTCAAAGGAAATCTGGACAATAATGCTTTCAATGTAGTCACTACTGCTATTACTGGGTTATTTGCGTACCCTTTACAGGACGTTGCAGAACCAACCCCATCAGCCCATGGTTGTTGTGTGGTTTCACTAGGCAAATTTACGTCCTGTAGTTTGCCATTGCTCGCTGGACGGTCGGCTCCCTGATACCACTGTCGAAACCAACGCAAGGCGTATGACCCGCGGCTGAGATCGAACCCGGTACCCCGGAATTACGAAGCGTTACTGCTTTTACTACAAATATGAAACTTGCGAATTTTTTGTTTTTATTCTAATTATGAAAATTAAATTACAGCCGTTAACACTGCAACGACTGATTCGTTAGTAATAATGGACTAAGAAAAGATTGACGTCACTATACTTGGGGAAACGGCCAAAAGAATCTCGCTTTTCCTCTGCAGTCACACACTGGAGATTATAATGGAGTCTGTTGGCATAATATATATATATAACTACAACCCGTGTGGAAAAAATTACAATGGCTAACGGTTTGACTACTTCGCCATTAAGGCACCTGACCTATTGTCAACCAGGCTGTATGGGCTGTGTTCTTTTTCTTCTCCGTATTCATTTGCTGTAAACATCGGCCGAACGTTCTGCTTATTCGTTCAATCTTGAAGTTGCTCTTACCCCAGAAAGTGAGTTTTGCATGCACATCTGTCTTTTTTGTATGAAAATTGCTGGTCCTTCGCTGCTCACACAGGATTCACTCCGACTTCGAAGAAAACGCACTTATTTAGTTGCTTTTTTTTTTACGATATGCTTGTTAGGGATCAGTGGGTCTATGGTTGTCTTTTCCAAAACGAGGGACTAGAAACCACACAGGAATGTAATGGGCTGAAATATAACCTAACCTTGTGTCCTGGATGTAAAGCTTCCCTACAAGTGTCCATGCCTTATTGGTTTCCCAGTATGAATGAGATCACTGCAACAGTCAACTTTTCTTCTTCTTCCTAATCCTTTTCCTCCTACTCCTTTCTCCTCCACCTCCTTTTTCTCATACTTGTCCTCGTTTATCTTCATTTTCAACATCTTTATCTTCTTCAACTTCAGCTTAATATTTTTCTTCACTTTCTGGTCAAAACAAGTTAAAAAGCACAACTTCTATAGTTAACAGTCATTCCTGAAAACTTATTATACTATATGAATATTAGAATCATAAATATGACTATATTCTTTAGCTGTTTGTGTGTGTGTGATCTGTGTGTGTGTATGTGGTGTGTGTGTGTGTGTGTGTGTGTGCGCGCGCCCGCGCGAGTGCTGCGGAGGGTACCAAACAAAAATAAAAACTACAAATAAAAACTTTCGGTTCCGACATTGATAGGGAATGGATGACGGTGAAAAACTTGGCTTATGTTGACCGTTCTCGTCGCCGTTTCTCCTTCAGTTTCAATGTTGCAAAATTGTGGAAGTCCGGTTTGCAGCCGGAGCTACCGAGTTTAGTGCTCCTGGCGGCACTATGAGCTGTGATTATCGATTATTGACTGAGTTCCAGATTCGTACATAATGGTAATGAGGAGTGATGTATTTTTCTTCGTTGTGTTCCTGGGACAAGGCGTCTGCTATATCAATCAATCAAGTGCCGTCTCCACAATGAAGGTTGGCTGCAATGGATCTCCAACAAGCCCTGTCTCTTGCCCTTGATGTACACTCACTCATACTGTTGTTCGTCCATCTCTTGATGTTATCCTCCCACTTGAAACGCTGTCTGCCTCTTGCTCGCCTACCTTGAACCTATTCCTCTAGGATGATCTTAACAATACTGTTATGTCTTTTAATGTGACCAAAATATTTCACTTGTCTCTTTTTTATTTCACCTAGCAACTCTCTTTTCATTCCCAATTTCCTCAGTACCTCTGTATTTGATAGCTTTTGTTTCCATGAAATACGACCTTATATTCAGTATATCCACATCTCCAAAAGAACTGATACAATTTTCCAGTTGTTTGTTCATTGTCCTTGTCTCTGTGCCATACACTAAGGTTAAGAATACATAACATTTGACAATTCTCATTTCTAATGTATTATTTATTTCTCTTGATGTCA